CTTTCATTCAGAATTGATGTTCATCCTTCACATCCAATAATTTAGTCTCACAGTCTTGTTGAACAGATGTGTAGAAAAAAAGTAGGGAATCACTATGGGATTTTGGAGACAGGATTTCTGTGCATTTTATATATATCTTGGTACTTCCTTTATCCATGAAAGTATTAAGGTAGGACATCTTTGATCTTCTTGGGGCTCCTTGCCACTCATTTCCCACTTCTAGAAGGAATATTCATGCAGATATTCTGGTCCTGTGATATTTTGTATTCTCTTTTCCTGGCTCTGAGAAGTCAATTACACTCAAGTTGACCCTATCTATTTCAAATAAAAGATATACTGGCCTTTCTTTACAGCAATTCTAAGCATAATTTATGCAAAGTGAGCCTCACTAAATTCAGGGATGTTCCCAAGTAAGAACACGAGGGGTTGCAGCATCTGATTGCAGATCTATTTCTATCAGATTTAGCTTTTTAAGAAGCATGCTTTGTAAATAATATACATGTATATTGCAGAATAATTTCAGGGACTAGTTTATGGCAGGCCCACCTGGGTTTACGCTTAGCATCAATTTCTCTTCCACAGGAACTGCTCTATTACAGGGGTGGGGGTGGGGGTGGGGGAATCTTCTAGCACAGTGTTTCTCAACCTTGGTAGCTTGAAGATGGGTGGACTTCAACTCCCAGAATCCCCCAGCCAGCGCTGTTCTAGCATCTTAAAGTTATAATGAATGAATACAGGCATAGAATTAATTTGAGAAACGATACCTATTCAATAATCCAGATTTCAAACTATCCAGATTTTACTCCCAATCCATTTTAAAAATGCTTCTGAAAGACTAGTTACACATATCTCAATGCAATGAATTGTTTTATAAGGGAATATTGAACCTAAATATTACTAGTACTATAGATATTTCCATATGTTCTGGTTTCATTTGGGATGGCTGAGTCTATAAAGAGCTAGCAAGTATAGTTCTCTGGGCTTTAATCAACCCCCTCCCCCTCAATATATAATTTTGAAAATTACTTCTATAGACTTTATCGGTGTGTTCTTTGGAAGGAATTTTTTTTTAGTAAAAATTTATGCAAGTAGAAGAATTTACAGAGGTGCTTTGTTTAAATATAGAACAGAGCATTTTAATGGTTTACATCATTGTGATTGCTAATAAGGGACAAACACTGTCATGTTAAATGACATGAAATGTGCATTCTTCATCCCACACACACAGTTAGAACCAGATAAGAAAAGAAGGAAATTGAATTGACACCTGAAATATTTCTCCGAGGAATAGTAAAGAGGAATTATGGAAAGAAAAAGATTTATTTAATTATACATATCACCACTGCTGCTAGACTGGCATACGCACAATACTGGAAAGAGAAAGATCTGCCAACAGAAGAACATATAATTAGGAAAATACTGGAGTGCGCAGAGATGAGCAAACTAACACATGAAATAAATGAGGATGAAAACTCAGATTACTATACTGTTTGGGGAAGGTGGTATGAATGGATGAACGATAAAATAAAAAAAGGAGAAAAAGATATGCCTAATAAAAGGAATAAGTAGCTTAAGAAATACCAGGTGCATATCTTGTGCATATGTATATATGTATAAACACTGCACTTCCGATGTAAATAGAAATGATATTTAATGTATTTCATAAACTTAATAAAATATTTTTTTTAAAAAAAGAAGGAAAGAGAAATATCTTTTGCCTCATCTCTTGTTACCTTCTGTGAGTTGAGAAACTTCTGATTTGGGGAATGCTCCCTGCATAAATTAGCACTGAGAGATCTCTTCTTTATAGCTGTGAAAGAGAACTGGCTGTTTATCCATTTTTGAATATTTGTCTCCTGCCTTTCCTCTTAAGAGCCTGCAGAGACTGTCCTCCTTGCTTTCCCCTTGCTACTGTTTTAGCATCTCACTGGTGAGAAAGAGCTCTGGTAGTCCACCAGCTGAGCTCTATGGCTGGCTGTGGATTTGAGCAGAGTGGCTCTCTGGCCTGTACTCCCAAGGAAGTCACCAGGGCTTCTTCAATATCAGAAAGAAAGAATAAGAACAGTGGGTAGAAAAGGCAATGTTTTCCTGAATTGGAAATTGGAATGACAAAGTTCTAAAGGAATTGCTGAAATGCTTATTTATAATATGAATTGTGAAGATGGGGTGTGAACTCTCCTCTCCCATGGCACCTGCCTATTAAAGATGGGAAATGAATGTAAAGTATTTTCCCTGGCAAAGAGGGCTGTCCCTTCCTTTTGATTTCTAACAAGGTTCTGGTCCTTGAGGTTTCTGAGGAGACCTCTGACGGCTTCAGAAGTTGTCAGGAGAATGAAATTCATGGAAAAGATGGCACAGGGAGTTTATTATTTATTAAATTTTTATCCCACTTTTAGAAATTCACCCAAGGCAGCAAACCTGCATAATATTCCTCCCTCCCCTCCTATTTTCTAACTTTCTATTTCCTGAATAGCTTTTAAACCTATTCAGGAAGTGTTTCTACAGTTTTAAGCAGAAGGCATCTCTATAGCATGAGCTAAGTGTGACTTAATCTCCAGGGTCTTTTGTGAGTTTTGCACAGAAGGGTGTTTTCTGCCACCCTAGCAGGCTCATAACAGAAGCGCCATTTAGCTCAGCTGTGGACCACGGATTCTCCCCCAGCCAGCATCAGGCTGTTTTGAAGATACTCTCTTAGAGGAATTTGCAACCCATCCTTCAGATTAAAAAAAAAAAAGAACAACTTCAGCTGCCTTCCGCCACTTCAGTTTCCCTCTTCCTTAATTCATCTGAAGGTTTGAAAAATCTGAAACGGTTTTTGTGATGTAAGAATGACCTTGAGGGACAGGAGAAGAGAGTTTAGTTTATTGTCATTGCACATGGTACAACGAAATTAAATGCCATCTTCAGGGTACATTATAACTATAAAAATAAAAACACAAACATGCATCCTTTACATTCTATATAATTGAAATTGAAAACCCGATATTGCACTATACCGTAGAATTCAATATGATTATTGCCTGGGATAGAAGCTGTTTTTCAGCCTATTAATCTTTGTTTTTATTATCCTGTACCGTCTGCCAGATGGTAATAGTTCAAAAAAGGGTGCCCAGGATGAGATGGATCTTTAAGAATGTTTTGAACTTTCTTAAGGCAGCGGGAGCAATAAAGCTCTTCCAAAGAGGGGAGAGGGCAACCAATGATCCTCTGGGCAATGATGTTGATCCTCTGCAGCACTTGTGGCTGTCCTGTCTGACCCTCTGGAGCGCTGTCCTGTCTGCCACTGTGCAACTGGCAAATCATACACAGGTGCAGTAAGTTAAAATACTCTCCATGGTGCAGCGGTAGAAGGCCACCAGCAGTTTTTCATTCAGTTGTTGTTTCCTGAGAAGTCTCGGGAAGTATAATCTCTGCTGGGCCCTTTTGACCAGTGCTGAAATGTGAGTGCCCCAGGTCAGGTCCTCTTTTAAGAGAAGAGAGGAAGTGATCAGACAAGGGGAGGAGGGGGGAACCCCCAGTACCTTAACAGTCGAAGGAAAGAAACCTAGGAAGGACTTGCCCTGATTGATCTTAAAAATGACGGCAGAAAGTTTATACTTCCAGACTTGTGAAGATTCTGCTAATGAAGTAGATTTATCTCACCAAATTATTTGCATTTCTTGTCTGGTTTACCCAGGAAGGCTGACCAAATGGATGTGCAAATTGCACCTGGCCATTTAAGCCATGTTTGTACCCTGTTTCCCCCAAAATAAGACATCCCCTGATAATAAGCCCAGTCGGGCTTTTGAGCGCATGGCAATAAGACCAAGCGCTTATTTCAGAGTTCAAAAAAAATATAAGACAGGGTCTTATTTTCAGGGAAACACGGTAAAAAAATATATATCGATAGAAACAGAGCCTTTGTTAAGAGCAGAGACTTTCAGTGGGCAACTTGGTGAATTATCCAGAGCATCCTTTTGTCGTCCCCACCCCCACCCCTTTATACTTCCCAAAGGAAAGGGAATAACTAGATCCTGCCCTGAGAGGGGTAATCCTTAAAATACAATCTCTCTGCTTGTCCCACCCACCCACCCCACATCACGTTTTTAGCACGTCTGTACAGCAAGAAGGAACCAGAGATTGTCCCAGCTCATCTTCTGGATGCCTTCTGCAAATAGCAGCAACGGCTCTCACTAGCATCTTCCTATACCCTCTGAAAGAAAGAACTGCTCCTGTTGCGTTGCCTTAAGGCAAGGTATCCTTTCAATCCTTTCACATTTTTTTTTTAAAATGAAAACTGAATAGTTGCCTCAGGCCCCCTCAGAATCACCTATATTTGCAAGAATGCTGGTTAGCCTGATTGGAATTATTATTATTATTATTTTTGATAATAAAAACATGAATGGCTATAACTGAGCTAAAGTGGGTTTGGGTAAACAGGTATTGTGAAAGTGTTTCCCTTCATCTAACATTATCTAGCACAGGAAAAATCTCCTCTACCTGGTATGCATAATTGTTGTTGTTGCTCAGTAGCTACCCTGTTTCCCCCAAAATAAGACATCCCCTGATAATAAGCCCAATCAGGCTTTTGAGCTTATAGCAATAAGGCCAAGCGCTTATTTCAGGGTTGAAAAAAATATAAGACAGGGTCTTATTTTCGGGGAAACATGGTAAGTTGTGACTCTGACTCTTCACAGCCTTTTGTGGACCACAACATACCAGGCCTTCCTGTCCTCTCCTGCCTCCCGGAGTTTGTCCAAATTCATGTCCATTGAGTTGATAACCCTCTCTAACCATCCCATCCTCTGTCCTCCCCTTCTCCTTTTGCCTTCCATCTTTCCCAACCTCAGGCTCTTCTCCAGCGAGTCCTCTTTTGGTGGCCAAAATATTTGAGCTTCGGCTTCAGTATCTCTCTTTCAGAGAACAGTTCAGGGTTGATTTCCTGTAGGATTGAGGTTTTTTTTCCCCCCCTCATTTTTTCTTCTTCTTTCACCAACCATTTTTCCATCCATTTTCTTTCATATAATTCGCCGATTGGACTTTTATTTTTCCTCTCGCTTTGAAAATAGTTGACCTATTGACAACCCGGTAACACTAAGAGTTGAGGGTATTGTCTGTCTCGGCTGCCTTTGAGTGGTTATGCGCGTTTCCGTCAGTTCGGTGCAGACACTATTGTTGGAAAACTGGAAAATGGATTTAGTTGATGGTTGAAAGTCTCCTAATAACATGACAAAAGGCATGATGAAGCAAACAGTTGGAACAATTAATCAGTGGAACAACTTGCCTCCAAAAGTTGTAAATGCTCCAACAGTGGAAGTTTTTAAGAAGATGTTGGATAACCGTTTGTCTGAAGTGGTGTAGGGTTTCCTGCCTAAGCAGGGGGTTGGACTAGAAGACCTTCAAGGTCCCTTCCAACTCTGTTATTCTATTCTATTCTATTCTATTCTATTCTATTCTATTCTATTCTATTCTATTCTACTCTACTCTACTCTACTCTACTCTACTCTACTCTACTCTACTCTACTCTACTCTACTCTACTCTACTCTACTCAACTCAACTCAACTCAACTCAACTCAACTCAAACAGAGCCTGACTAGGTAGCTCAGTGGCTAAGACACTGAGCTTGTCAATCAGAAAGGTCGGCAGTTCGGCGGTTCGAATCCCTAATACAAGTCTCCTGCATGAGCAGGGGGTTGGACTAGATGACCTCCAAGGTACCTTCCAACTCTGTTACTGTTAGAGCCTTTCTGATGAAAGCAGCGGCCCTTGGGAGGGGAATTTCTTACCAGATAAGCTCCAGAAGGACAATCCCAAAGATGCTTTTTCAAGAGGCAACTGGACTTCCTGGTTTTTCTTTGAAGACATTTCACTTCTCATCCAAGAAGCTTCTTCAGCTCCGGATGACTGAGAATCTCCATAGACCTCTAGAAGGACACTTGGTCCCTTCTTCTGAATTCATGAACTTGAAGTTAGTTTTCTGGAAGGTGAGGTTAAGTGAAAGCCAGCCTCTTTGGGAAGATGGACTGTTGGCTGTGCTCAATAAAACACCAATTCCATCTTGGCCTGGATCTAGACACAAAGATAACATTGTTGGGGGATAAACCCACCTTCCTAAGGATCCTTGGTGGCATTATAAAGCCAGACCTTGGTTTTTCATGGTTCTGCCTTCCTATAAATGGGCTCCAGAAGGGAAGTTCTTTGGGAAGAAGAAAACTGGATTCCATGTATTCAGGCTTCTCCGTATGGGGACAATTTAAGATAAGAGATGCTTTTAAAGCAGGGATCCTCAAACTTTTTAAACAGGGCCGATTCAGACTATTGGAGGAGGAGCGGATTGGCTGAGTGGGCATGGCTAGGTAGTCATGTGACTGGGTGGGCGTAGCTAGGTGGTCATGTGACTGGGTGGGCGTGGCCAATTTAACAGTCCAGTTTTTTGCCTTCCTCTTTCCTAAGCTCCTGTTTAAATTGTTTTCAAAAACTTTTAATTTAAAGCAGTACTTTACAAGCCCAGAGCTGCTTTTCGAGGCTGCACCAGCGAGATCACCCCTCCTCTGGCCTTCCAGCTGGCTTCCTGGAAGATACAGCCCACGGCAAGGGGTGGGACTTAATCACACCACTCGCGGGCCAGATACTTTACATTGGCAGGCCGTTATCTGGCCCATGGGCTGTAGTTTGAGGATGCCTGCTTTAGAGACATTTTTGGGCCACAAACTAGGGATTTGAAATTCATTAACAAACATAAAAAGGTACAAGGTGTTTTAGAGATGGGACATAACTCAGTATTGATGGTACATCAATTAGGAGAATCTGTACCATTTCAGACAAATTCAATTTCAAAAAGTTGGCCAGACCAGGATAAAACTTGATGTTTGTACTATAGTGACTAATCAGAGTTAAGTGCGGTTTAATGATAGGAGTTAAAGAAGGAAGAAAAAACAATAAGAGATGAAGCACAGCAAATTGCAAACAAACAAACAAAACAAAAATGAATTTTTAAAAATACAAAAGTAAATTCAAGGTTATAAAAGTATAAAAATGCAGAGTTACCTAAATGATAAATAAATACAATTTATTCTTATAAAACAGCCAGCTAAGATTCCAAAATGCTGAATTTGTGGTTGTTAAAACACTGAGCTGGTTAAGACCTAATGTTAGAGGGAAACAGTAACGTATAAGGGAATGAAGTGGCTATGATTCTGCTTATGAGGTCTCAACAGTGGGAAGTTGTATGCTACACTTACTGTACAGTTCTTGTGTCCATTGAAAGTGCAGTAGTTGTGAGCATTTCATGATATTTCTGGATGGGTTTAGGATCTGCTAAGAGGTGAAACACAAGTTTTCTAAAGTACAGTGGCAAAAGATCTTTGCACCATCTGAAAAAAAAAATATTAGAGGAGACTGCACACTTCTTTAGACTTCCATCAACAAGCAAACAGAGATAAGCGCCTTTAAATCAGCATTCTGGGTTACCATCATTGTATGATTTCTCAAGGATGCCAAAAATGAAATCCTAAGAAACTTTCAACAAATGGATTTAATCTGCTGAAGGCCATCAACTTTCCAGAATGGTGACGTGAGGCAGAGGTAATTTTATTTTAGCGTACAGTACAATGTCAAGGCGATTATCTCTGGAGAAAAGGCCAAGGGCATAAGGGATCTAATCATACTCCCAGGGATATAGGGGAAAAAATGACTGTATCATAGAATCCTGGATCAGACTCCTTGCTTTGTTATGGAAGAATTAAGGTATATGTGAATTGGGCCCTGGATTTAGGAATCGGTTGGAGATGGAGAGCTTTAAATTTGGTTCGTGACAACAGTGGACTCTGGAGGCCATTAAATCCAATGTGTAAATCTTGTGTGATGCTTTTCAACTGAAATAATGTGTATTTACCTTTTTTTTTAACAGGTGTAAAAAACTTCTGAGCAAGAAAAAGCTAAAACGGAAGCAGAAAAGTAAATTGAAAATGAGAGCACGGAACAAGGTACATTCTTTTGTTTTCTCTTTGTTTTTTTCCTATTCATATTTCAGGAAGGAATTAAAAAGAATATTAATCATTTGACAAAATCCGAATTAACAGTATTTGCTACGCTTCACGTTAGAATTATGTAATTCCTAATGTAGCAGTTCCCAATTTTTTCCTTTATGTGAATCATAAAGATTTATAGATAACATGTGATCCCTGAAAGGGTAACAGCCTCTTGCCTATGGCCTTTGTGCTCCCTGTGGATCTCCCCCTCTTTGGCATTTAAAACATCTGAAAGTGAAAATACAAGTTACATATTTAATAGCGGAGATATCGTAATCACAAATATACTTGAGAGGGAGTGGGCAGAGAGAAAAAAAGACTGAAACATCAAAGAAACACTTATCCTCACAAGAGTTTGAGGTCCCTACAGTACCTCACAGAATCTTGAGAGTTTTTAAAAATCTTTTTGAAAGTAGCAGTTTCTTGGGACCCTCACCAGCAATAGCACTTAGACTAATATAGATGGGATGGGGTGGGATGGGATGGGATAAGATGGGATGGGATGGCATGGCATGGCATAGCATAGCATGGCATGGCATGGCATGACCTTTATTGTCATTTTTTACTGTGAGCACACAGACACACATTAAACATGAAATTCTGTTGCCTGCTTTCAAAAGAAAGTATATATCAACCCATATACATAAATAACACACATATACACATGCTGTAAACCTTTCCTTCCTTCCTTCCTTCCTTCCTTCCTTCCTTCCTTCCTTCCTTCCTTCCTTCCTTCCTTCCTACCTACCTACCTACCTACCTACCACTACCCCCCCCCACACACACACATTAATCACTTTCCATAGAGAAAGAGGAAACTTGAGAGTTCACAAGTATACCGCTCCATAGTACTTTGCAGCCCCGTCTAAGTGGTCTACAGAGTCAGCTTTTGCCCCCAACAATCTTGAGTCCTCATTTTACCGACCTCGGAAGGATGGAAGGACGAGTCAATCTTGCGCCAGTCAGGATCGAACTCCAGTCTATGGACAGAGTTTGCCTGCAATACTGCCTTCTAACCACTGTGCCGCCAGAGCTCCTAAATGTGCTTAGAGGCCCCCCCTGAAGAATCTCCCACGCTTCTAATGTTCCAAGAGTTTCATCCTAGAATGTGTGATACAATCCACAAGGTCAAGGCAGGCTGATTCCAAGTGTTCTGGAACTGAGTCTGAATGTGATGAAGTCTGTTGGGGAGCAGGAGAAGAGTGGAGGTATTCTCCCTTTCAAGGAGTGGAGACATTAAATAATCCATTAAAAGGAGTGCTGTGTGGCCATTTATGCTCAGAAAGGGGTGAGGGTGAGGGTCCGAGTAGATAACCCCTGGGACAAGCTAGGATGACATTTACTAGGCTGAGAACGATAGTTGTTGCCTCCTGATTTAAATAAAAATATCCAAATGTGACTTTTTAAAAAAATCTTCTTTACTACATACAGTAGAATCTCTGGTCACGGCCATAATTCGTTCCATAACTTTGGTCGCAACCCGATTTGGTCATGACCCAAACCTAATTTCCCCATTGGGTTGTATGTAAATACGATCAATCTGTTCCAGACCCCTAAAATATTTTTTAAAAAGATTTTTAAGCACAAAAATAGTTAATTATGCCATAGAACTCACAGGGTAATATTAAAATCCTTTAATAACTCAGAGAAAACCTTGAACAACAGAGAAAACTGTTCAAAAATTTTGGGAATTTTTTGGTTAGAACCCGATTTGATCGTGGTCAGAAGCGTCCGTTCCATTTTTCAGAATGGTTTTTCCTTTTGCCAAGTACCTGGCCCAGGAGAGGGGAACCCCTTGTATCGTTGATGATTCTGCCCTTTGTAGAATGGTGGCCCGAATGACACACAGTTGCTGGCACTTTCATTTGAGAGCTACTTGTGCTGATGGTTTAAGGGACTTCTCACAGAATCCCACCAGTGCTGGGATTCAAATATTTTTACTACCAGTTCTGTGGGCGTAGCTTGGTGGGCATGGCATGGCTTGGTGAGCGTGGATTGGTGGACGTGGCAGGGGAAGGATACTATAAAATCTCCATTCCCACTCCACTCTAGGGGAAGGTTACTGCAAAATCCCCATTTCCTCCCTATCAGCTGGGACGCGGGAGGCACAGAATAGATAGGGGCGGGGGCCGGTCAGAGGTGGTATTTACCGGTTCTCCGAGCTACTCAAAATTTCCGCTAACGGTTCTCCAGAATTGGTCAGAACCTGCTGAAAGCCACCTCTGGATCGCACCAAGAGCAATGCTGGATTTTAAAGAATTATTTTTGTGTTGAGAACATTTGTACTTTGAGCATTGCCACCCTGGGCATTGAAAATACTCCTGCTTTCTTGCTTTTCTTTGAATTAGAAAGGAAAATTGAGCCCAACTTATCCGTTATATTAATGTAGGGAGGAGAATAAGCTTTTGACAAATGCTTCTGTAATGGTAAGATGCAGATTTCTTTCCAGTTGATTGCAAGAAAAAAAAAAATCTCTTGTTTCATCAGAGTGAAAGTCTTGATAGTATGGTATCCATACCAGATATCAAACTTCACAGCAACCCTTCGGCTTTCAACGTGTACTGCAACGTGCGGCATTGTGTTTTGGAATGGCAAAAAAAGGAAACCTCCACGGCCTTGGCCTCCAAAAATACGGTGCAGAGCGGGGATTCGGACAGCGATGAGGAGGAAGAAGCCAAAGAGCCTCCTGTGAAGCTTCCAAAGGTAAGGGACCTCAGGCAGGTCCGAGGCGTTCTGGTCTTGGAAAACGTTCTGCAGGACAGAACTCCAAAGCGTTTCTGGCTAAGGGGAACTTCCTGCTTTCTGTTTTTAGATAATAGAAGTTGGATTATGTGAAGTGTTCGAACTGATTAAAGAGACAAGGTTTTCTCACCCGTCTCTCTGTCTGAGAAGTTTGCAGGCTCTTCTCAATGTTCTTCAAGGCCAGCAGCCAGAAGGTCTCCAGTCAGAACCTCCTGAAGTTCTAGGTAAGGTCTCCTACATTCGCTCAAGGTCAATAAGATAAGGGAGTGACTAGCTAAGTCATGCCTAAAACCTATCTGGCTTTAGTACTGTATTCCTGTTTGAGGCCGGAGCTCCTCTCTCAAGAGCCTTGATAGTACAGTGGTCTAAGCACCCTGTTATTAACACAGCTGCCTGCAATTTACTGCTGGTTCGAATCTCTCCAAGGCTCAAGGTTGACTCAGCCTTCCATCCTTTCTAAGGTAGGTGAAATGAGGACCCAGTTTGTGGGGGCAATAAGCTGACTTTGTATAAATATACAAAAGTATGAAGGCTATTGCTTAACGCATTGTAAGCCGCCCTGAGTCTCCGGAGAAGGGCGGCATATAAATCAAATTAAAAAAAAAAAAAAAAGCCCCTTGCTGATACGAACCTGGCCTTTTGCTCTTTTGAGAATTCTGTCAAATTATTTGCAAGGATAAACACAGTTTGTGAACAGATACAGGTAATCCTCGACTTGTGACCACAATTGAGCCCGACATTTCTGTTGCTAAGCGAGACAGTTGTTAAGGGAGCTTTGCCCCATTTTGCAACCTTTCTTGCCTCAATTGTTAAGTGAATCACTGCAGTTGTTAAATTAGTAACACGGTTGTTTAGTTGAATCCGGCTTCCCCGTTGACTTTGCTTGTCGGAAGGTCTCAAAAGGGGATCACATGACCCCGGGACACCTGCAACCATCCTAAGTATATGCCAGTTGCCAAGCATCTGAATTTTGATCATGTGGCTAATGGGGATGTTGCAATGGTCGTAAAGGTGAAAAACACTCATAGGTCATCCCAAATATGCTTTTTCAAGAGGCAACTGGACTTTCTGGTTTTTCCTTGAAGACGTTTTGCTTCTCATTCCAAGAAGCTTCTTCAGGTCTAACTGGATGGAGGGGAATGGAAGGATTTATTCTCCTTGCAGACAGCTGGTCATTTGCATCATTTTCAGAGAGTCGTTGAAGCCACTTGGAGGTTTATCTGTGTCCCGCAAATAACCAGCTGTCTTCAAGGAGTATAAATCCTTCCATTCTGCTCCATCCAGTCAGAGCTGAAGAAGCTTCTTGGAATGAGAAGCAAAACATCTTCAAGGAAAAACCAGAAAGTCCAGTTGTCTCTTGAAAAAAGACAACCATGACTTGGAGGACTGGGAATCTCCATAGACATTTCGTTCATAAGTCACTTTTATCAGTGCCGTTTTAACTCAGAACGGGCACTAAATGAACTGTTGTAAGTCGAGGATTACCTGTATATAAAAGTTTTTCATGGGTTGCAGTTGCTACTTGACACACCCAAAAGAGCAAGCAACTGCAGTGCAGCCTGTGCTGTGAAGTGCTGGCTTATATGTGAGGTCAGCAATATCTCCTGCCTGTGATTGCCAATGGAGTATCATCTCTTTCTTAGTGGATGGTTTTCTAGATGGGACTGGAATGACTGAAGAATGGCCTCTAGTTGGAGCTTTTACCTATTATTATTATTATTATTATTATTATTATTATTATTATTATTATTATCAATTTATATACCGCCCTTCTCCTATTGGACTCAGGGTGGTGCACAGCCATGGATAAAAAACATACCAATACAAAATTTAAAATCAATTAAAAGAATTATACAGCTTTGGCCCACAATTTAAAACAATCCAATTAAAACCCAATTTACACTTAAAAAGCTAAAAAACTAAAAAGAGCTAAAAAAGGGGGGGGGGTTTTCACACCAGCCCCGCTTGATGGAAAAGAAAAGTTTTTAGGGCACAGCGAAAGGCCCGGAGATCTGGTATCCTTTGTATCTCCGGGGGCAAATCATTCCAGAGGGCAGGAGCTGCCACAGAGAAGGCCTTCCCCATGGGGGTCGCCAGCCGACATTGCCTGGCTGACGGCACCCTGAGGAGTCCCTCTCTGTGGGAGCGTACTGGTCGGTGGGAGGTTATCGGCGGCCTATCTCCACGAGTAGCTTAATAATAATAATAATAATAATTTTATTTCTATACCGCCCTTCTCCCAAAGGACTCAGGGCGGTGTACAGCCAATTTAAAAACACAAGACACAACAATAATTAAAAATTAAAATAATTAAATAGATTTGGCCAATTTAAAACCCCAAAAATTAAAATACCCCAATTTAAAATTATTATATTGAAGTTATTATTTGTAAAAGGAACCTCAGTCCTTCCATCCGTTCACGGATATTAGGCCACAGCAACATTGGAGCATGCAAATCCCTTTCCTTGTGTTGCTGTGTGGCTGCATGCTTCTATCACCCCTACTGTGTGTGTGTGTGTAAGTGACCTTTTCTTCTGTCTGCAGAGTCCCTGTTCCAGCTCCTGCTAGAAATCACGGTTCGGAGCACTGGGATGAATGACAGCCCCGGCCAGTCGCTGACTGCCCTTTCCTGTGCTTGCCTCTTCAGTCTTGTGGCTGCCTGGGGAGAGACCGGACGGACGCTTCAGGCCATCTCCGCTATCCTGACCAACAACGGGAGTCATGCTTGTCAGACCATCCAGGTCTTGTATTCCGCCTCATTCATGTGCACGAATGTGTTTTCCAAGTCTAAAAATTCTGGAGGCGACAAGTAGTTTTCTAAAGATTGCATCAGAAATACAGAGAGGGAGGGAGAGAGGGAGGGAGGGAGGGAGAGAGAGAAGGAAAACAGCGACCTATTTGGATTTGCCATTTTCGTGAATTTGACTTCTTTTTTAAAATCTTGCTAACATCTCGTTTGTAAATAATTAGGAATAAAAAAACTCCAAAGTCTAAATCGGTGTTTAAGAAGTGTTACTAGTATTTTTGTGCTGAACTCTGCTAGTCTAAAGCCATAGGAAAATATAGCTAGTCCCAGGTGCTGAGGACAGCTCCTTTGTAACTAAGAACATTTGTAAAGCAATTTGGTGAAACTAGGAGATAAAAGGGGTGAGGTTGAGCAACCCTGAAGCAGGTTCCAAACCTGTGTTCCATTTGATTGTCATTGATCCCAAATTTCACCCAATTTAATCACACGAACTGGGAAGAAGAAATGTTTGGTATACAGATAGTCCTTATTTAGCAACTGCCTCAGTTCGTGATTGTTCATAAAT